ATCATGGATGCTCCCCACCATATGCGAGGCCATATGGGAGGATCAGTCTTGGTCGATAAGAGGATTAGAGGGTGACCTCGGGGTCCTCTTGACCGGTGATGATCTTCCCAAGACTAACTGTGTTTATCCCTGTGTGGTGAGACTACCTCCTCGCGGAGAGTGAAAGTTGCTGCATGACGCAACGAGGGAAGAACTGGTCAGCATGCCTTGACCGACATTATTGGGTTGGACCTCACAAAGAGAAAAAACTAGAAGAAAATAAGATGATATCTCTTATATCGTTCAAAGAAAATTGATATGTATTTATATTTACATGACCAGAGGAGAATATTTATACTACTCCTACTTAGTATTACTATTTTAGGTTTGATATAGTACACATTTATAATAATTGAGATTTTTTTTATATGAAAATTGAATTAACTATGAGTACAAGGGGTATTCAAACCCCTTACAACACCAGCAAATCATTATTGGATAGAAAAACTCCATAAAAGCCACATCAATATCTCAATAGTATATCTAAAGGTGCCACATACATATCGTAGAAATTAATAGTACAAATTGATTTTCTACCTATGATGCTCCAGGGATAAACTTTAAATCTAATAGACAAAATAATATCATCCAGGTTTGCAGCTTCTTCTCTGAATATTAAATTGTTTCTAGCTAGCCATTGGCTCCAACAGGTTTCCAGCCACATTATGCCTTGCTTATCGATATTGGATTTCCCCTTCAGCTGCTTACAATGTGATATGAAGTTGTCCCAACTTAACTGTGAATCTTCTGGTGTAGTTTTGATCCATCTATTTATAGCTTGCCAAACCTTTATATACTAACATCATAATGAAACAAAAGATGACTCAACGATTCTGCTTGAAGGGAGCAAAAAGCACACAAAAGATTATTGTGATCATGGATAATCCCTCTCCTACCCAACTAAGTTTTGGTAGGTAACCTGTCTTGAAATGATTTCCAGCAAAACATCTTTATATTTTGAGGTACATGAGATTTTCAGACAACTTTTATTGCAACAATCTTGCCAACCTCCAACATGTTATCTTGCCCAGTAGAGAGTGAATCTTCTATACTACTATAAAATGATTTAACATGAAATTTTTTGCCTTGATCCAACATCCATTCAAAGCAGTCTGCTTCATTTTGCATTGGTGTAACTCTTACTAAAAAGTTCAATAATTCTGCTTTTAGCTGAGATATATCTGAGTTGAGATTCGTGTTCCACTCTAGTAACCCAAACCGTTCATTGTTAATCCATTCCCCCATTTCTTCAATAGAACCATCCGGCCTTGAGGATATTTCAAATAGCTCAGGGAAAGCAAAAGCCAACGATTGATTTCCAAACTAGTAAAAACTCCAAAAGCTGATTGAGTTACCTCTGCCCAGTCTACACTCTATGTTTTTGATGAAACAATTGTTGATGAGCCCATCTTCCCCATTGATTGATTTTAAGTCTCTCCACCTATAATACCTATTTTGAGCTATACTGCATGATCCAGAACTCACATGCATTCTTATGTTGCCATATCTATGATTCAGCAGACCTGTCTAAATTGCATCATCCCCCGCAAGAATTATCTGATTCCATTGGTTTAACAGAGCCTTGTTTAACAACCCTACGTCTTTTAATCCCATGCCTCCTAATTCCTTTGGTCTACACATGTTTTTCCAACTCACCCAATGGACTTTCTTTTTCAATTTTGTCCCTCCCCAAATGAATCTCTGTTGAATTCTCCAAAATTCCTTCCACACATGAAGGGAAGGACACTTAATATTCAATTCTTTTGTGGGACTGCCATTAACCAATACTAACATCCTACTAGAGAATAAGCAAACCTCCATTCAATCCCTCCCCATTTACTACCAAAATCTATTCTTCTTAATAGATCTCTTAAGAAGTTCCAATTCGCTATATCATATACCTTTTCAAAGTCCAATTTCAAGATTATACATCCTTTTTGCTCTCTATTTACTAGATCTATCAATTCATTTAACAACAAGACACCATCATGAGAGAGATATTCTCTCCATTCTATAATGAGTGACCAGCACATCATTTCATACATATTAAGAAAAGTGTAAAAAAAAAATTTGATTATAATATCCTTAATCATATATTAAAAATAATAAAATTTTAATTAATTAAGAATAGAATTTAAAAAAATGTATTAAAAATTAAAATGAATCCTTCATTTTAGGACATAGAGAATATATTATTAGTTAAAAATTAAAGTGAAAAAATTCATATAGGAGACTTGACAAGAAAGGTTTTCTCGTTCTGCCTCTATCCCTCCTACCTCACTCTTTTCTTTCTTCACCGGCGATTCCCATACGGCGGTAGCCTCGCCGGGACTACCAACCACTCTCGACGACTCCACCGCCACCAACACCAACACCAACACCGTACTTCCCAATGTCAAAGGCTGTTCTCTCTCGAATCAAACCTCGTCACCACCTCAAAGCCCCCTCCTCTTCTTCTTTGCCTCCTCGCATCAAAAACCTCATCACCGACGTCATCCAAATCCTCAAAACCCACCAATGCCCTGATTCTCTCGAATCACGCTTCGCTGAATCCGAAGTCATTGTTTCTGATGTTGCCCATTTCGTTATTGATCGAATTCATGACCCTGAACTTGGTTTAAAGTTCTTTGACTGGGCTTCAACTAAACCCTTTTCTTCTCCTCTTACTGGACTTGCTTATTCTTCTCTTCTCAACCTCATGGCCAAGTACAGAGTGTTCTCGCAGATGGAGTTCGTGTTGGAGAATATGAATGCTCAAAACTTGAAACCTACACTTGAAGCATTAAACAATGTTATTTCTGTGTACTCGGAAAATGGGTTTGTTAACAGAGCACTTCAGTTGTTTCATACTGTTCGTGAAGTGCATAATTGTTTTCCAAGTGTTTTTGCTAACAATTCATTGCTCAGTTGTTTGGTGAAAAATCGGAAAGTTGATATTGCACTTGAAGTGTATGATAAAATGCTTCGGAAGGGTGGTGATGATGGTAGGGATGTGGTTGTTGATAACTATAGTACCTCAATTGTGGTGAAGGGTTTGTGTGATCTTGGGAAGGTTGAGGAAGGTAGGAGGTTGATTAATGATAGATGGAAGAAAGGTTGTGTTCCTCATGTAGTGTTTTATAATGTGATCATTGATGGATATTGTAAGACGGGTAATCTCAGAGGTGCTACTAAAGTTCTAGAGGAATTGAAATTGAAGGGCTTTTTGCCGACGTTAGAAACTTACGGGGCTTTGATTGCTGGATTTTGCAAAGTTGGGGATTTTCTAGTAGTTGATCAACTTCTGAAAGAAATGAATGTGAGGGGATTGAATGTGAATGTACTAGTGTTCAATAATATTATTGATGCTCAATACAGGCATGGTTTGGTGGAAGAAGCTGCCGAGACAATGAGAAGGATGGATGAGATGGGCTGTGAGCCAGATATTACGACTTATAATATTCTGATTAACTTTTCATGTAGCGGTGGAAGGACTAAAGAAGCTGAAGAGTTCATAGAGAGGGCGAAAGAAAGTAGATTGCTGCCTAATAAGTATAGTTATACACCCATCATGCATGCTTACTGTAAGCAAGGGGATTATGTTATGGCGTCAGATATTCTTTTTAAGATTGCTGAAAGTGAAGCAGGAGGTAAACCGGACTTGGTTTCTTATGGAGCTTTTATCCATGGAATTGTCACTGTTGGGGAAATTGATGTTGCACTGATGGTCCAAGAGAAAATGATTGAGAAGGGTATATTTCCTGATGCTCAGATTTACAATGTTCTGATGAGTGGTCTCTGCAAGAAAGGAAGGTTTCCTGCTGCCAAACTACTACTTTCAGAAATGCTTGATCGAAACTTACAACCCGATGCACATGTTTATGCCACCTTGGTAGATGGTTTTATTAGAAACGATGAACTTGATAAGGCAACAACACTTTTTGAAGTTGTAATGAGTAAGGGTATAGACCCTGGCGTTGTGGGGTATAATGTCATGATTAAGGGTTTATGTAAATTCGGAAAGATGGCTGATGCTGTATCATACTTAAATAAGATGAAAGTTGCGCATCATACTCCTGATGAATACACTTATTCCACAGTTATAGATGGATATGTAAAACAGCACGACTTAGATAGTGCACTCAAGATGTTTGGACAGATGATGAAACAGAACTGCAAGCCAAATGTAGTTGCCTACACCTGCCTGATCAATGGATTCTGCAAGAAAGCAGACATGAGCAGAGCTGAAAAAGTTTTCAGAGTGATGGAATCTTTTAATTTAGAGCCTAATGTTGTCACATACACCATACTTATTGGTGGTTTTTGTAAGGCCGGTAAACCCGAAAAAGCTGCATCATTTTTTGAGTTAATGCTGATAAGAAACTGTCTTCCAAATGATACTACATTCCATTATCTCATAAATGGCTTAACAAATATTACAGACAGTACACTTCTTATCAGAAGAAATGAGGAAAATGACAGGTCATTGATTTTGGATTTCTTTGCAACAATGATATCAGATGGATGGAGTCAAGTGATTGCCGCTTATAATTCTATTATTGTCTGTCTTTGTAAGCATGGAATGGTTGACACTGCCCAGTTGTTGCAAACTAAGATGCTGAGGAAGGGATTTCTTATGGATTCTGTGTGTTTCGGTGCCCTGCTACACGGCTTATGTCAAACAGGAAAGTCAAAAGAGTGGAAGGACATTATATCTGGCGATATGAATAAGATTGATTTCCAAACTGCTTTCGAGTACTCCCTGAAATTAGACAAATACCTTTATCAAGGAAGGCTCTCAGAGGCATCGTTTATTTTACAGACCTTGATTGAAGACTCCAAGTTTTCTGATCAACAAGACAGAGATCAAAGAGTTACAAGCTTGCAGTAAAGCACGAAGTAAAGAAATTCCCTTATGTCATTTGGAAATTCTATAAAGATACATTGTTATTCGATCCAACAGTCTCATATATCTCTTATGAATGCACTGCAAAAATGACATTTGCATAGACTTAAAGGACGCCCATATTTTTAATGCTTGGTGATAGCAGGCAACAAAAAGTCAATGTATAAGAATTAAAATACTTTAACTAGATGTGGAGAAGATCATTGGCTGGGCTATGAGTTATCATTTTATGCATTCATTTGCAGCTTCAACAAAGAATTAAAGCGTGTGATAACTGCAGAAAGGTTTTTCTTTGTCATTTTTGGATATTTTCATAGTGTCAACCCTAATAGATTGAGCAAAAAAAATCTTTTTTAACATTGTTTTACATCTCACTTGTGCAGTATTAAGTATGGGTTTGACATTCTTCAAGGCATCCAAAATGAGAACAAGAGCATTAAAAAGTCACCGAAGGTAATTAATGCAATTTCCACCATATTTTGTGGAATTTGCGATACTTTCATCTAGTTTCTATACACTGTAATAATTTGAATCCTTCAATAAATACCTGTATTTATTGAATCGTTACTCCGGACTGTGGTTATTGAGAATGAATTTGAGAAAAAGTTGCTGGGTGATGGATGATATTGGAGCTTTAGAAAATGTGAAGGACACCTTGAAGGAATTGGTCATGCTTCCTCTTAAAAGGCCTGAACTGTTTTATAAAGGACAATTAACTAAGGTGGAAATATTTCTTGTTACTTTTAATGACTCGTGAAACACTATTTAGTATTTAGTAGATGGTGCAATCATGCACTGTCTGTGGCATCAGCACCTTAATGTTTAATTTATTTGAATATAGCCATGTAAGGGATTATTGCTTTTCAGGCCCTATGGTACAGGAAGAACAATGCTCGCAAAGGCTGTAGCAACTGAAGCTGGAGCGAATTTTATAAACATTTCAATGTCCAACATTACTTCCAAGGTATCAGTGTTGCAAATTGAGTTTTCTTTATGTTGTCAGTTTCCCTGTGTATTTTAGATAATGTTCGCATGACCTGAAGTACCCTTACCTGTGTCTACTTTATTCATTGTGCCTTTCAAGAGTAGTTTGTCTTGCAAATCTACAATATATCTCAGTGTAGATACTGATTATAAGTTCCTGATCTTCAATCCACAACTTTGATTGTTGCTGGTGTTAAATAACAAAAAGGTTTGTGATTTTGGAATTTGTTTTCTGATACACAGATCAATTAGGCTGTTTTCTGCATGTTTACAATTTCCTCTATGTTCCAAATTCATGAGCAGTATTTGGCCTTCCAAATTAGACCACTAACTTACTATAAAGGCTTGACCGTTTAATAAACAGAACTTATTTCACTTCTCTTGTTATGTCTTACACTCTTACCATTACTCTTAACTGTCAAAACAAAATAGATTGGGTTTTACCAACGGGTCCAGAGTTTTCAAGCCATTTCATTTAAAGAGGAAATTAAGGATGTCAATTTGGGTAAGCTATTGTTGGTTTGGTTTGAGAGGTTATGCATACCAATCCAATGGGGGAAAGCAAAGTAGTGGGTATAAGATGACATCAAAGACGTGCACAAAGGCATTCGCAGCGTGCAATGTTATGGGGCAGTAGAAGAAAATTTTGAATTGCAAGGCTGAGTGAGAGTTGCAATGGTATCTCCAACAGTGTTTGTGAAGTTGCTGATATATTGGGTTGAAGAGCTGGTGGGTTGCAATTTGGAATATATTCCAAACAGATTTGAACCGAAGTTCAGAAGTTTAGCAGATTTATTCTTTGTTATTGAATACCCCGGGGATATAGTGTTGTGATTATTTGCTACAAAGGCACTTTATTGAATTAAATCAATTTTCAGTCTTGATGCCTAGAAGTTTAAAACTTGATTCACTGGCTGAAATGAAAGTGAAAATGTATTTAAATATCGTCGTTTGCTTTTATAGATTTTCCTATTTTTACTTTTTGTGTATGATTTATTTGGTGGAATCTGTGGCAGGTTGGTAGTATGTTAGGGAGATATGAAATCCCCGGTGGGTCTGCGTACAAAAGAAAAAGAGCGTATACTTATTCTTGCTGCTATAAATAGGTCTTTTGATCTTGATGGAGGTATATTATACTTGGTCTCATACATCTTTTATTTCATGTTTTACAAATGAGGCCTATTCTAATTCAATCTTTTGCTAGAATATACTGTAGACTGATGGTTAATTTGCCGGAGGCTCCAAATAGAGGAAAAATTCTCAGTGTCATTTTAGTGAAAGAAGAGTGAATCTGATTCAATGTAAAATATTTTCACTGGTTCAGAATATGTGTCACAGCGGCTCACTGTCCAATAAGGAAGATCTTGGAGAAGGAAAAGAAGGTTGTATATATATTCACCAAGAGATGGTAGATGTTTTTGAGTTTAGCTATCAACCTCCGGATATTGGAATAGCATCACAAAGAACTATTTTAAAGCATTTTTTGTGAATTCTAAAGTATTTGGTTTATATGTTTTGTCACATAACTAATCTTTTAACACTACAAGAATTTAGTTGTAGAGTTGGAATAATACATGCTGAAATTTCCTAAACATTCGGCTTACAACTATTTTATTAGAAAACTACATGACTAGCCAAATAGAAAATCTTCAAGTTTTTTTATTTTTTTGGTTCAAAACAATGTTATTAATCTCAAATCAGGCACTACTGAGATATAATTTGTACCTTCCACTTTGCCTTTTCAGTCAATGATTTACTAAAAATGGATGAATTTAGATTTATCTTATTCCTTAAAAACCCTACTTTATACCAAAAAGAAACATAGGAATTTTATAGTTGATTACATGTCACTTTATAATATAAAATGCCTTCTGATTAGCAACAACAAAAATGCAAATCATTAAAGATTACATATCTTCAAACGATTAATATGTAGTTTTGTCTTGAACTTTAAGCACTCTGTTCTTCAGTTTCTCCATTTTCACCATCTTCAGCAGCCGCAGCTGCCATCAGCTCATCAAATTTTTCCGTCTTTCCAAGTACTATTTCGATCTAAAACACGATTCATCAAATGTGCAACTTAGAAACAGTTTAGAAACTAGAAACAATACTATAACTCAGAAAGTTGACTGTTTGCACCCTTACCTTGGCCTTTTGAACAGGTCTACCTCTAGAATCATCCTTAATATCAACGGTGGATGTCAAGATTTCTGCATCAAGATTCAAACCATTAATCAAAATCACACAATTCAACCACTAGAGAGTGTAGCAAGGGAGAAGAATAAACATTCTCCCCCAAATGAAAAGGAAAACAATAACATAGTATCTCACTCTTTTCGACGGCGAGTCCGTTATTTTTCAAAATCTCAGCAACAGTTACTACAGTAGCAATAGCTGTAACAAAGCCATGGAAAAAAAATCAGAAATCTTGTTGAAATTGCAAACAGCGAAAGAAAAGATAGAACAAGAAAGTTATAAAAATCACAAAACACACTACATTGTTTTCCACGTTGTTCCGACAGCATGACTACAGCACCCCCACCAAAATTACTGGTTACTTACTAACCATACTATGATTCAACAAAAACAAACCTATGCAATCTACCCTTAACAGCAGTGATTGGATACATTAATCATAAACATAGGAATCCAAATAAACCTAGTATTCTTAAAATAGCAACACAATCAAAGTATAATTAATTACGAACAAAAAGTTAAATAGAAGGATTTGAATACCCATTCCCAGTGCTGAGAGTTCCACCTCGTTATGCTGTTGCATGTATCTCTACAATAACAACAAATATATCAAAAATATTATAAATATAAAGATAAATTAAAATAGAACAAGATAGAATTTTTGAAACCTTGGCGAGATTAACATAGAAAAAGAGGGGTTTCTTAGTGTTAGAAACTTGAATGCGATTCTTCTTGTAAGATTCGGAGTTATTAATGTTGATGTTGTTTACTCCTTCAGTTATGACTTCCATTACTCTCTGTCTCTGTTTCTCGGAAGATACGATGGTGTTTTGTTTCAAAACCCTAACAAAGTTGTTTAACGAAGAAGAATGGTGTTGATATGTTATGCGTTTTGTTTGGTTGAGTTCAGGAACACTGCGGCACAGTTATACTTTCTCTATCTTATTGGGCCTAGGCCCAATAAGTTGATTTGGTTGTTTAAAGAATTGGACTTCATTGAGATTTTGTCCTGTCACCTCCTACTCATACCTGCCAGGCTGGCACCCCCAATTACTGTGTTTTGACTATATTACACTTATATATTAAAAACTATTTTACTATTTATTCGTAACATTTTGAATTTTTCCAAAAGTTTTGCATCTTATCAGATTTTTTCCAGCGAACCACCCAATTTTTTCAAGTATACAATTTTAGCGATAATTTAAGTTTTATACTAGATTTTTATTAAAAAAATGTATTTTTATCGATATTTTTGAAATATTCGATTAACATGCATGCATATCTACTGGTTATTTTGAAAAATATGGTAAAAATTATGTTTCTCATGCTTTTTTATCAGATATTTTGAAAATTTCCTTTAACAAGCATGCATTTCTACTGATTATTTTGAAAATTTTGATAAAAACTCATGTTTCTCATACACTTTTATCGAATATTTTGAAATTTTTGATTAGAGTGCACACATTTCTATCAATTATTTTGAAAAACCCGATAAAAATTGCATGCAGGCATAACTGATTTTAAAAAAAAAACTAGTAAAAGAAAATGTTGAGATGGTTAAATGGATATTTAGAAAAATCTAGGAAAGCCAAGTTGACTTTTCAGATTTTTAAAAATTTTGGTAGTTCATATTTCATCAATTTGTTTTGCAACGAGGACTAGAGGAAAGGACGAGACAATTTCTTCTAGGCAGCTTGACAAAGCTGGGGAGAGGGCTTGTGTGAGGGCATATAACATCGAGGATTCACATATCCGAACGAGGAGAATAGCCTCGACCAATTCTCACAGGAGGCGGGTGTTTGAGCAGACTCGTGCACCCCGCATTATGCGATGTATAGGAGCTAGAGCTTATAGACGGGTCAGAGATCCTATTGATGAGCCTGATGTTGCTGTTGTCGATGATGTTCAAATAGCAGCTAAGGAGGTGGAGGGTTTAGATGACATGTAGATGGTTATCGAGATAGAAATGGCCCATTATACTGAGACAAATGCCTTGGATCATATGGAGGTGACTTCTACGGCTGATACATATGTGACTCCTCTGACGGATGCGTAGACTACTACTCCAACAGATACAAAATCAACTATTATGCGTGATATGATGGTTACTATAACACCCTAAGTTTCCCAAATAAATAATTAAAATTCAGAGTAATTAAAACAATTCAAACATTTAGGTTGTCACCTTCAATCATCAAACACACTCATATAATATGATATGTAACACGTATTAAAACATGAATCACATATTTGTCATGTCTAAACTTTGATGACTTTATTAACAACGGAAAATATCAACGACAATTAGTCTTAACTCTTCAACATGGGTTATAATCACAACAGTCCAAAATTAACATAAATCACCAAATAAATATAACAAATGGAGTTATACATAAGTTTACTCCCAACATAAACAAAACAACTGCAATTTCTCAAGTGTTACGTATCAGAGAAGACACGACTCAATCGATGCAATAAGAGGCAATCTCCTTGGCTAACCTCAATCTTGAGCTACTCCCGAGTATCTGCACGATGCCGTATAAAGCATCATTCCAACAGAAGGGTGAGATATCACAACAATATAAAGAAATATATATCAATAAGTAAACAGTAGATATATTCATACATAGTCACACATTCTATATCTCACACTTTCACAAAATCAACAACAATCATATTACATGTTAATTATACAATCACACCCATCATCTGCACATATCATCGAATTATCATGTAATACATACACCAAACACTTAGCTCAAACATCATGTTAATGACAATATAATACAATGAGACCGACTCAAAGACTCAATACATGTGGTACCATTCGTGAACAAATATGTCCACCTCGCTCCCGATCTCCATCATAGGACTAGAGCCACCTATATCGTGAACAATTAGGTTCACATTACTTCTGATCCCTACCATAGGACCAGAGCCAACCAATATCATGAATATTTAGGTTCACATCGCTCTCAATCCCTACCATAGGACCAGAGCCAACTAACAAGACTAAAGTCCTCACCATGAAATACATGTGACACAAACATGTAACAAAATACAACACATTGGCATTCATATACATCAATGTAACACGCTATTACAGGCCACAGTCTGTTCACACATGAAACATACAATCCATACTACTCAAACAATATCATATAGCAACATTAGAAATAGAACATCCCAAATTATCAATTATACAAGGCATTTACACACTTTTCACAAAATGACATAACTCGACAGTATAAAACACTCGTCCACGCGTCAAATAGTTAAAATTATGGTATTGAAAATATTTTTAAGATAAAGTACGTTAAACCAGCTTTCCAACAACTCGAACCACGCGTCAATCAGATCTTCACAGCTCAAGTTATGAATTTTCGAACTTTTTTAACAAAACAGTTTTTGTCCTAGGTAACCGGTTACTTCAAACCAAGTAACCAGTTACTCCAACTTTTACACGCCTCTGTTAGGAAATATTTGTACTAGATAACCGGTTACTTCAAACTAAGTAACCAGTTACTTCAACTTAACAGTGCCATTGTCCCCCTGTTTTTGTTCAGTTAACCAATTACTCCAAATGAGGTAACCGATTACTTCACCAGTAGAATCAATTTTCTGTTGTTTTTCTAAGTATGAAAAATCCTTTCTTTTCAACCTCAAAAACCCAAATTGTAATAAAAAATGGATTTCTCACTTCCATAATTTATACATATATATTACACAACAAAAATTATTAGGCTTAGACTTTTTAATTAAATAATTAATTTCTTTAATTAATTAATTAATTAATTAAATTTTAACTATTTTCTTAATTTAGAATGAATTAGAATTTAGGACTTAATTTAATTTTAATTATTTTCTTAAATAAAAAAAACAATAAAAAGATTTTCTTATTTCATTTTTACTTACTAGGTTTTTAGAAGTACTTTTAACTTTCGCGCGTTATTTATTTTCTTTCGTATTTTTACATTATTGTACCTGTACACTGGATGTAATAGTTAACAGGATTTAATCTGATT